CTAATACATAATACTAATTTTACTAATAATTACAAATCTGATAACAATTTTAAGACCATTAACAATTATAATAAATCTGATTTCAAAAATTATAAAAATTCTAATTTCAAAAATTATAACAATTCTAATTCTAACAATAATAACAATTCTGAGTTTATTAACAATAATAGTTTTAGATTCAATAATAGCAACAAGTTAGATATAGTGTTAGTGTTTTATTATAGATGTTACAATATATTGAAACTTGTATTTTAATAAAGCAAATAAAGTGTACTGCTTCTAAGAACTATTTTGGCTTTTATTTATAATTCTTAATTTGGCATTTACAAATATAACTTATTTATTAAAACTAATTAAACTATTTATATATATATATTTACAGTAATATCATTCATTTCCTCCTTTATTCTTTATATTTCTTTGAATTCAAAATATCATTCTACTTTTAATTTAATTTATTGTACTTATTGCACTTATTGCAATTATTGCATTTCATGATTTTTTATATGATCAGTTATAATATCCTAATATTACAATATTATATTAATAGAATGTATATATCATATACTTAATCTTATTGTTAAGACAGAATTGGCTGAAATAAGTTAGCTTCAAAAAAAGATATATAAGATTATAAAATATTTAGTAAATTCTTTAGCAAGTGGTTAATTAGAATTATTAGAATCACATTGTTACATTGTTGAAATAAATTTTTTGTATCTAATTCATGAAATTAATATATGTTAGAATTCATTATTAACTATGTTTAAGAAATATAATTATTTACATTTAGCAATTTGTAATATGTTCTTGAATAAATTAACAATGCTTTTTTGTTTAGAAATTGAAGAATTAATAGTACTTAAATCTGTATGTCAGCTTTTTGAACCATTTAAAGCTGCTATATTAGTTCTTTCTAAAGATTGAACTAATTCAATATCAAATATTACAAAAATGATACTGGATTTTACAACATATTAATAAGTTAAAAAAATAATAATGCAATTTATTTAATAATAAAAAAGTTTGAAAAATATTGAAACATAATAAATGATCATGTCTTGATTGCATAAGTACTTGATCTATATTATAAATTTAATCATTTAAGAGCAACTTTGATTGAGGTTGGCAAATATATTAATAATACTATAGAACAGTTTATTAATATTATTTGACAAAAATTATCTTGTATAAAATGAAATACACAGATATACAATCAAGTTTAATTATTAAATTAATAATTCTACATCTAATTTATTATTTTTTAAAAGATGAATTTTAAAAAAAAAATATTATGAAAATAATACAATTAGATATAAGTTAGAGTTATATAAAAGAGAACCTGCTAAAAAATTTGAAAATGATAATAAAAAAATAGAGTGTAATAGAATTTTATATTAAAAATCATTATCAAAAAGATTTTCAATTCACAGTAAAATAACATACAATTATCTTGCCATTTAATCTTCAAGTATTACTAGTGAAAGATTATTTTTATAAGCTCGATTTACAATTACTAGTGATAGAACCAATTTTAGTAAACAAACTGTTGCTTTCATAATACTTATATATTTATAGATTATAGAAAATTAAAATGAATTTAGTCCTCTTATTGCTCTTTTAGAAACAAAATAATCTTTTTATTTTTATATTTTAAATAAATTAAATTACATTATATTTAGAATATTGGATATATATTACATATTTTGTATATTTTGCATATTTATACTAAATGTAATAAAACAAATAATTGAATATTTATACTAATTTCAAAAAATATATAAATAAAAGTTTTTTGTTTATATAAAAGTAAAACTTTTGAGTTTTTATAAAATTTTCAAATAAATAAATATGCATTAACAAAGTTTGCTGTTTTAGGTACTAGTAACAGATACATGCTTGGTATAAGTGCAAATGTCTATATAATGCCAGTGCCCAAAAAAAGCATGACATTTTTAAACTAGAAATGAAATGCCTATAACTATGCCTGAACCTATGCTCTAAGTTTTTTTGTATTGAGTACAAACATGTGCTGGGCATGCAGATTCCTAGTCAAAAGGTAATCAGAAAATAAGTATTACAAAAAAATATGTCACTAAAAAAACCTTTTATATTCTATTATTATTAATAATGTGAGGTCCAATAACATGACATAAATACTCTGTCAGGACCTCATGTAAGAACAGGTATGATGATCAATGCCTCAATATAGATATCCTGACAATTAATCATATTAATGCAATTAATTAAATAAATCAAGTAAGTGAGATTAATTAGAGAAAGGAGATTAATTAGAGAAGGAGGATTTATTAAGTAAATGAATAAATTAGAGAAATCAAATTAAAAGGTTTAATGAGATTAATATAATTAATGAAGTTATAATTAAAAAGATAATATAAATAAAGGCTGAAATGGCTCTTAGGAGCAGTACACTTCGTTTGCTTTATTAAATAATAAATCCCAATACACTAGATTGCATATATTAAACACTAACACTATTACTGTTACAAACCCTGTGAACCCCTATAACGTCGCTGTTCAAGCCCTTGACCACGTGACTTACCCTACTTGCATTCGTTGACCCAAAGTAACCGAAAGCCTTAATCACCCACCAGCCAAATCTAACACCCTCTTTCGAAAAGGTTACTTATCGTACGTTACGCGAGATATTGAATTGTGGAGCGACAGAGTCGCAATCTTCCGAACCCAACAATATATATATATATAATTGATGATCTGTATAAAAAAAGTTCATTTTAAATTATACAATTATTTTTTTGAATGTAATGATATAACCTTATAACAAAGTTAAATATTCGACGGCAATCCCTAGTACTGACACGGTAGGGAAAAAGACAATCCTGGAAATCTTAAATTTGGTGTATCCGAAGATCATTATAAAAAAGCGAGGATCAACTATATTTTGATATTTTATTAGTCAAATTGATTCGTCAAGGGTGTTGTTAGGTGTTTCATCAATCGCAAAGGTTTGGTCAAACATCAAAACTTTTTATTGTCACAAAAAGATTTTCAAGCATCTTTAGTGTGCACATATATTACTAAAATTTATTGATTAGAGTACGAAAGGCCTTAAACTGTCTAGCGTACAAATTTGTACTCTTAAATCATGATTAATCTGTGAATAAGTTATCAAATATTGTAGTATGTGTGATAGTTAAGGGATTTTTAAAAAACTTTGAATTATTTTTAATTTGATTGGCAAAAGAAGAGTGATACTGATACTTTGCCCAATTAGAAATTAGGGATCTTCAACAATGATCTAAGTGTATTTTTTTTTTTTGTTTATGTAACAGGAGGAACCGTCGATGTACACGACTGCTTCTTCACCCGGTGCGCAACATATAAAAAAAATCATTTTACAATATCAGATCATTCCGCTAGTACATGTTATGATTATAATCCCACACCATTTTATTATAATAAAAATGGTGTGGGATTATAATCATAACATGTACTAGCGGAATGATCTGATATTGTAAAATGATTTTTTTTATATGTTGCGCACCGGGTGAAGAAGCAGTCGTGTACATCGACGGTTCCTCCTGTTTATTTATGTATGAATTCAATATAAACTTATTATGTTTAACGAAGCTATTTTGCAATAACGAAATGGTTCCGCCATTTTATTCGTCTGGAGAAACTTTGACAACCTAATTACTAACAAAATTCTTGACGAATCAATTTATTGTAACCAATGAAATACCAAATATAGTTAACTACTTTAATGAGCTTTTGTAACGGCTTCTGGATATATATTATATGGTTTCATCAGCTCATGAAAAAATTGTAATTATAAGTGATACCGTTTTTTTTTGGTTATAAATTATTTAAGAATGTATAAAATTCATGTTCATTCGTTAATTCGTCGATCAGAAATTGCTTGGCAAAATGGTCTGCCATTTGTCAATGATAAAAGTTTCACCATCTATCATGCTTCATTATTATAATTAATTATTTTATTTTCTTTTTAACCATTTTGGCACCCAAATAATACAAAAGGATATTCAATTCCATACATTAGAACATTCGATTTCATAAAAAAAGACCGTTCAATTTCATAAAAAAGAACGTTCGAAATTAAGTTATACTTAATTTTGTATTAAGTTAAATGTCTTCATACGTACTAATACAAAAGCTAAAAAGGATAAGTACACTCTCGAGTTTATAAATTCTTTGTTTTTTTTTTTTTTTGATTACCGTTGAATGTTTATCGGTTTAGTCTTTACTGCGGTGTAGATCAGATCTGATGGATATTCTTCATAGTGTGATACCTAATGTGTTATGATGTGTTAAAGGGATAAGTGCTACAAGAAAATCTTGAATTATAAAGCATCTTATTTTTTGATTATAATTAAAGTAATTAATCTAGTTATAGATTGGTTCTTTTAAATACCATTCATAGTATTACAGTTTCACATTTTTTTACTGCATAGTTTTGATAACTTTATTAAGAGACATGTCAAAAATTCTTTAAGTGCAGATAGACTTAAAGTTCCTTACTGATATACTTATATTTAATTATCAGTTATTTATTTCCAGACTTATTATGTATATTGGTTGTATAATTATCCTACATAATAAATACAGCATAGCAAATAGATATAATGTTTGACACAGTTAACGTTCATATAGATTGAAATGTATAAATAGCTCCGATATCCCTCCAAGAAGCGATAGTTCTTTACTCAATACAAATTCATAAAGAGTAATTGTGTCTTTATATACAAAACAGCTCGAATAAACCATATATTAAATACCACGACTACTTGCATCTACAGTGCATTTAACAGTTTTTCCGTAACAGAAAAAAATTACCTAAATCCTCTTAACGCGTAATTGCCAAGCAGAAACACGACATTTGTTATCTTGATTTCTTCATCTTTTAAATAAAAATTGTTCCTCTTTCACTAAAAGTCCGAATAATTGAATTATTCAACACATATAAATATCAAAACATTCAATCATAAAAATCATTCTAAATGAAAACTTCAATTTTTAACATTTGTCTTATCGTTATTATATGTATCCTGACCTTGAAAACATCAACTATCAATGGTTATGTTGTCAGAAGTTATTCTGTAGATGACAGTGACCAGTCACCCCGTGGTACTGATCATAAAAGAAATTACTCTGTTGACCAAAGTGGCCAGTCACCCCGCGGTCGTGGTCATAAAAGAAGCTACTCTGTTGACCAAAGTGGCCAGTCACCCCGTGGTCCCGGTCATAAAAGAAGCTACTCTGTTGACCAAAGTGGCTAGTCACCCTGTGGTCCCGGTCATAAAAGAAGCTACTCTGTTGACCAAAGTGGCTAGTCATCTGGTGGCGTAGATCATAAAATTAAAATTTTATAAATTCTAATTCAAAAAATGAAGGTTTCATTCTTGGTGAATTTATAATAATAAACTTAGCGCTTGCATTTATACATTAATATCCTCTTGAATATTTCTATATTATTTCATATACAATTACAAAATTATTCTATTCGCTAACGATAAAACAATTCAAATTTCTTTTTTTATATCCAAATTTAGTTAGAATCAATGATTATATAGTTTCAAAATTTACTATAATTGGTCGTTAACATGTCTAAATGAATATCAGATTGCAGTGAAGTAATTTAACGTGTCAATATACTTTAGAGAAAATTTTTTTGTACCTCATAATAAACTTTATTTCATTAACAATTATTAGGAATGCTAAACAATTCAAATAAAAAATGGCTTAAATTGCTTTTTTACATATATTCAATTTGCAATTATTTAAAATTTTTTAAACATCAATAACTGAGTTGAATCCGTCGCATATGATTTACTAAATAATATCTTAGATCGAGACAACTTAAAAGAAGACTATAATATTATAATCTCGCAAAATATTATGAAAAATTATGGTTAAATTCGTGTACACGAAATCTTTAATCTTGTCTTGATATTGTAATCTTAACCTCCTGATCACTATTATCAATATTGCGAGATTATGACTATACAGCTCTCTACAACAATGTTGTCACTTGGGAGGCTACTGGAAGTAAATCAATAATGTCACTACTACTCTATAACATATGGCTGATCTGCACGGTCTAATAAATATAAAAATCAAATAAGTCATAATTCCGGTCAAAATTGTCGATCATTTAGGTCAGATTTTAATTTATTTTACATCAGATCTTGTCAAATGATCAACAATTTGGCCGGAATTATAACTCATTGGTTTTTATATTTATTAGGCGGACTGGACTTTTGACAACATACATTTAAAAAATAAAATAAGGAAAATCACTTTAAAGAATTGAGCTTAATGAAGTTTATCTGTAATAGGGATGTGTCGTGAAATAAAAAATTATGAAAGTAATATAATCTTTTGATATTTAACTATTACTGTAGGTAATTTCGTAAATTGGCACGCAGTTAAACAAACTGTATAACCAGTAAGCAAAAGATTGAATCTAGTTAGCTACGCTTATTTAGGGTTCGAAACCGTGAAAAATTATGCTAGAGGTTAATCGCGTTGCTTATCTATAAGATGCAAGTTTAATACAACTGTTTATTAATCGTTTACTGTTTCAATACAACTGTTTTTAATCATTTAACCGTTTATTAATCGTTTGATCGTTTATTAATCGTTTGATCATTTATTAATCGTTTTATCGTTTATTAATCATTTTACAGTTTATCCGTTTATCCGCTTAATCATTTATAACAAACCAGTGTTTGCAACTTTTGCCTTTACATAAAAAAAATTTTTTTTATAAATAATTATAATTAAATATACAGTCATCCTTCTCTATAATCACGCCGTTTGTTTTACATAAAAAAAGATATGCTTATAAAATTTTAGAAATTTCAAACATACACTAGTGCATGTACGCATTAGTATAATTTGTAAATTTGTGTAATACAAAGTTTTTTTTAAAAAATAAAAATTAATTGGTTTAAAGTTGGATTAGGATAGTATTTAAGGTTTGGGTTATGGTATAATTTATATTAAAATTTTACAGAGGTTTTTTCGTTAGAACTCTGAAAGATGGTTTATTTAGTAAAATTTTAAGTTACATAGACACCTGTGGTTTATACACTAGTGTACAAATAAAGATTCTCATAGTAATATGATTAGGCCACGTAAAGTTAATATTTCGTTTTGCATAACTCGCCGACCCATTTTTTCAAATTTTCAAAAAAAAATTTTTTAAAGTCCAATTTGTGCTATTTTTGTTGTTTTCAATTTTATCCAGTATCACCCGATATAAAGCTTTATAAGTACCATTTTTGAAAAAATTATTGATAATTTAAAGAATTAATCTTTTTTTGATATTGCTATACCTTTGCTAACTCTAAACCTAATCAAACCCTAATAATTATATTGATTTTTATTAGCAAGTGATGTGACAATATCAAAAAGAATATAGAAATATCAATTTCTTTTATTTATATAATTATATTATTAAAATTTTATTTGTACATCTTTTTATATAAAATAAACTGTGATTATATAGGAGAACAACTGTATTTTTAATAAAGTATAATAATAAGTTTGTAATAGAAAAATAAAAAAGTGAATAAAATTATATGCCAATAGAAAAGTATGATAAAATACCAACCCTAATTTAAACTTTAATCAATTTAACCATTTATTAATAATTTACAAATTCGAATGAAATAATCAGGAATAAGTTTTGTAACAATGCACATCGTCCTGTGAATAAAATCCGATTAATAATCATTATTATATAGACATGTACAGTACATGTTATTTACCATGCGCATATTCCTCACATGAGGCATTAAATAATTGTTAAAAGAATAATCTGTTAAATTAAAACCGATAATTTGACGGTTTTTAATCGTTTGGAAAATTTTTTACTTGTTTAACAAATAAACGGTTATTAGCGGTTAAAATCCCTACGCTTATCCTTTCTCTAATTTGTTAACAAGCCAACTTTTTTTTTTGCATTAACCTTATCGTAATATGAATAAAAAAAAGAGCACCAACTATACATAATCGTTAAGCTTAATTCTCTTTCCATCAAAATCATCAATAAATACCAATTAAAATTAGATAATAATAATTATTAACTAAAATGAGAAGATATAATAATGAATAACATAGTAAAAGCCCGAAAAATATGATTCTGAAATAATAAATTTTATTCTGTTAGAAGTTTCCCGGAATTTTAGTGTTTTTTAATTTCTGGTAATCTTTGATATACAAATCTTAAATTTTTTTACACCAATCGATTCCTGTTATAATTGAAAATATAACCCGCACAAAAATTTATCCGATTTTACCTGATTCCCAGGAGTAACTTTGGTCCTTCTAATAAAAGATTCTATACTAAAATAGAACTTTTAAATGTTCAAGTGGCTGTATTTAAGTTAATCCTTATACACGTGGTTGTTTATTTTGTCAACAAATTAACTCCATTAGAGGGTTCCGCGTATTTTGTGATAGGTTCTTAACCTTGTTTGCTTTGTTCTTTAATCGTCTTGTATTAGTGGGTTTGCTTTTTTATATATGTTGTGCCTCAGTTGTCGATTTTTTGGCTGCATTAACTGATCGACATGGATTGATATACCCTAATTCTTCCAAACTCTTACGTTATCCCTAATCTATATTAGTTCGATCGACATTTGAGACAAGCGTTAGTTTGAGGTACGACATGTGTATAAACGACCAGTTATATAGTATGATCAACGATCTTTTAAGCTTAATTTGGTGTATAATTAAAATGTTTTAAGTGATGCATTATTGATATGTTTTGTAGAGCAGAGCAAGAGCACTAGCAAAATTTTAAAAGGAATGAAAGATCAATCTTGCGTAACATTTAGTGTTTGACATTTTTGCAATTGTTCTATTTGGGTTTATAAGTTTATTTTCTAGATAATTGGCATTTTGATTTCTTTAATGGAATTTTTTACTGGATATATATTGGCATCTATTTACTTATCCATGTTATCAATAGATCTTTACTATTTAATAACTACCATTTGATTTTATTTACATTTTATTGATATTTAGATGTCAAATATTTATTATTACAAAAATATCATCATATTATTTAACCTGTTTCTTAATTAAAAATATAGTAAATATTTATTAGTTATTAAAATAGAACTAATTTTAATTAATTTATTTATTTTCATTTTGACGGTCTTGTTATCCACTTTTATTAAAATTTGTATCCATAAATTTGTACATACTTTGATTTAAATTTCAAGTTCAACATCTTTTAGCTACTTCTATAAGTGTTTAGAGATACTTTAACATACTAGATAGTATTAAAACCAAGTACAAATCTTAGAGTGTTTACTTAAACCTATTTCTCTATAATAAGATTTTATCAATTTGATGATATTTTTTTGTTAAAAAGTAAAAAAAAATTATAACTAAAAAAATACAAATAAATAAGAAAAAGTAAGAAAAATAAATACAAATAAAAAATAATATTATAATAATATATAAAAAAATATGTGATGGGGTTCTGTAGCCTAGATGTCTAGGTGCCTTTCTCTTTACAGACAAGGTTAACAGTTCAATTCCAGCTGAAGGCAAAAACTCTGTAATTTACAGAAGCATATGAATGTATATGAAACCCTGTAGTTAAGTTCATTTAAATAGAAAATCAGTATATAAGGAAGTTCACAGAAAGAAGTTTTCCAATATGGAGAGTTGGTACTCAATGTAAGAAAAATGGTGAATATACCAGAAATAAAAAGAAGACACACTAGCAGGTGATATGGTGAACATAAAAAGAAACTATAAAAAAGAAATAGACTTACTGAAATTTGAATACTCTAACACTAAATCAGTTCTAATAGATATAGGATCTACTAAAATTGGATAAATCTAAGAGTTACTTGAATACCAACTTAGTAAGTTTGCATCAAGGATAAATTCAAAAGAACTATAAATACTTAGTAATATCTAATAAAGTAGTACTTAGATATAAATAGTAATTAGATAGTTCTAACCTATTCTGTCTCAATTATAGTAATGTACTATATTTCAGATATATGTAATAAATGTTTAAAATTAGAAAGTTTAAATAGAGGACTTACAGACAGGTTTCAGATATGGCATCTAGTAGGTAACCTATAAGCAGAACTCTTAATTGGATAATAACTAAAGTTATACATATAACTAGTTGTACTTTCATTAATATACATTATATATAAACATATAATTATACATTATTAATAATAAAAAAACATATATACAAGATTATTCTTAAAACTAAAAAAAACTAAAAAAAAAAATATATAAAAATAAAAATAGTATAAGCAAATTGTTGTTAATTAGTTTTGTTTTTGATCTTGTTTACTTTAATTATA